GGATATTTACCCTCTTTCATTTCCCAGATTCTGGACTTTATCTATTGACCGGTTTTGATTTTTATTTTGATCTATTTTGAATCACGTGACACTGAAAACCAGCAATAGTGTGTCAAACACCGAAGACCACATTCCATCACATTTCCAACACCTCAAATTTTGTCAAAAATTCTCAGCTGTGTGTTATATCTTTAAAACTCTTCTCCATAATTGCAAATGTGGTTAAACACGGTCTTTCATGCTTGAAGTATTACATCATTGTTTCTACAATTGTTGTTTGTTACAGTTTTAAAGACGTCGAAGCACAGCTTTGACATATTTTTAATTTAACTTCGAGGATTTGCATAGGATACCCCTTTCATTTGGGAGATGCACTTTGGTCAGCGTTGAAGAGCTTAAAAACCGATTATATTTGCAATTGTCTTGCTCACAAACATGGACTGGTCCTTTCAAACTGAAAGGTGTACTGCACATGTCTTAATTTGTGGTTGTCGAACTGATAAGCAACACTGAGTTCAACACGACCAGGATTCTGATTACAGTGAATGAATGTGTGCACAAGAAATTCTCCTAAAAAAGCTGATAACAGTTGTATCGTGTTCTTCAAATAACATTTAATTAACTAACTTCCCCTGCGAATAGCATGATAAAAAATATTTTATTATCTCATTGTATTTTAAAACAGATCCAACCGATCAAAGTAGTATTAGGTTTGACAAAACAATTATAACACCTACAATGAGAGACATCTGTACCAGGTCATGTGAGCATAAGAACCTAGTAAACCAGAGTGAAACACACTGAGCAATGTGGAACACAGTTCCTTTAGACATAATTTTTATGTTTGTTGTGTAGCATTTGACTTTTCATCAAGTTTCAGCTGATAAACCTGTACTGTATACTTTTCATGTGAGTCGCTGGAATCCCTTAATTACACAACTCTTTATACAGCTGTATGTTATCAGCCACTTGAAAAATAATATTGAATCCAGAAACAAAAATGGACGCACTCTTCCATCCAGAAATTATTATGCAAACTACTCGTCAATCATCAACATGTACTTTTAACATCCCAAGGATCTTCATGTATCAAAAGAGGCATGCAAACTATATGAAGAATATGTTTTTTATAGTGTTTTTACTGCATTTACAGTAAAATTTTACCACATTTTGCTTCATATTAAAGCTAGCAATCAACAAAAGAACCTGCTTCGTGTATGCAAATTGATTATTGTTATTCCATGTGACATCATTTCTTTCCAGTCATGACAAAACCTGTTCAGAACTTCAGTGGAATCGACACCATTGACAAGGTGTCTA